GTCATCTGCTGTACATACCAGCACAGTGACATCTCACCACGCCATCTGCGACCTCTCTTTCCCTCTCTCTCTCTCTCTCTCTCTCTCTCTCTCACTCTCTCTCTCTCTCGTACCGACCCATCATAGATCGGCGCCGCCATCGACTACGCGGTCGCTAGTACTCACGTGGCAGAAGATCATTGCCTGGCCGACGGTGATCACGCCGTAGATGTTGGCGAGGGCCTGGAACTTGTCCTCCTTGCCGCCACAGACGACATAGTACTGCTTGATGTTGTCGAGGCTCTCCTCTTCGCGCCGCAGCCGTATCGTCATCGGCGATGAGATGATCGCCTCGGCGAAGTTCATCACCTGCTGGTCGTACGTCGCCGAGAAGAGCATCATCTGGCAGGAGGCAGTGTTGAGACCCCTGAGGCAGAGAATATTGTTAGGATGCAGAAAACAAATCGTTTCACAAACGGACACTTTATTTTATTAGTGACAGTTATACAGCGAAACCACCTCTAGAGAACAACCGTCTTTGAAGGGGACTCTTCCCGTGAGTGATTTGTCATGCCCAGTTTTTTCTATACTACTACTAGCTAATTATGGCAGAGTAACGAAGTCTCGGACAACGCTCCACCCGTCGGTTTGCCGCGAGCCGAGATTTAGAAGGAGTACCTGTGGATTCGGGTGGACTGGTCCTGGTGGCCTTGTGTGGCTATCATCACGTCAGCTTCATCCAGCACAAATACCCGCACCCGCTTGAGATCCACAACATGAAACTTCATCGTCCAGTCGAGCACAGTACCGGGAGTTCCAATTACGATCTGGCTGGAAATCTTCTGCCCTCGACTGACTGAAAGCAAACATTCGTGCATCGAATATTACGAAATTAAACACAAACCTTTGAAACAATTTTTAATATCTAGTGACTTAATGACATCAGTTGAAATCTGATTTTTTGTGGAATATGTAATGACTATAGTATGTGCACGTACTAAGACAGAAAGTCGTGATCTTTTTCCACGGCAACCAAGCTTACAGTAAGTACATCTGAATGAGAATTTTCCACCCTATACTCACCTCTTTCTCCCCTCACAGCATAAGCTATGCTCATGTTTTCGATAAACTTGCCCATCTGTTCCACCACTTTGCCTGTCTGCAATGCCAGCTCATAGGTTGGGCTGAGACACAGAGCCTATGAAAAGTGAAGACCCAGATATGAATACTGACCTTTACAATAGAAAAGCATCAGAAATATAATGCAGATAACTCTTTCGCACGCTCTGGCTCTCTCCCTCTCTCTTGTGCTCACTTTTGTTATGTTTGTATATAATATGTGTGTGTGTGTATGTATGTATATTACTATACCACAGACATGTTTATTATATATGTAGAAATTCCATGCTCCTCTAGAAGTCATTCTCCACACCAGAATGTGAAAAATCAAATTATAACTAATAACATTTAATTTACCTGTGGGTAAGCGCTTTTGAAGTCAACTCTACTAAGCAAAGCCAGTACAAATGCTGCCGTCTTTCCTGTTCCACTTTGAGACTGAGCAATCATGTTCTGAGGTCTACAAAGTAAAAACAACAACAAATCCAATTAGAAATTATTTGAAATTCAAGGTCAAAGTGTGATGTACAGATCGGAAATCTTTCCACTATATTGGCTGCATCTCTGGAGAGTATAGCCAAAAAATATTTTTTCCCAATTCTGTAGGAACTGTCAAGATAACAGGAAATAAATCCATGCTCGAGGTACTCACGGATCCGCTAATAATGTAGGTAGTGCAGTTTCTTGAATCTTAGAAGGTGTATTGAATCCCATGGCATAGATTCCCTTTAGAAGCTCTGGGCGTCTGTATCAATCATAAAGAATGTAAAAAAAGTACAAAATACGTTAAATAACATTACAATTGAAGACACTTAAAACCATGTATTTTAGCCAGATAACCAACCAAAAATTTATGCACCAAATTTGCCTGCAAGTGCCTAATAAATGTAGGCATACGGCAGAAAACTTATTCACCCAAAAGTGAGTTAATACTTTACACGAAGAAAAAAATCAAGTGTATGTCACGGGTCTTACAAGTTGAGTTCCTCAAATGACTTGATAGAGTAGAGAGGCGAGTTTGGATCTTTTCGTTGAATCTCGATGTCGTTTTTTGTCTGAACCAGCTTAGATCGCAATAGTTTCTGAAGATATGAGCGTTCTTCAGCAGTCATTGCTAAAAGTAAACATAAGAAACCTCTACTCAACCAGTAACTCTTGTTTAAACATGCTTTATCACTACTCTATTAATTATATATTCTAGCCTTTATGATTTGCATCTGCCTATACTATGCCTTACATATTTTCATTTTATTTAAAATTCAACATGTGTTAGCGCACAATTATATATAATGGACACTTGCCTATAAAGGACAATTTTTGTGATTCACCTAAGTGGTCACTATATCCAACGAAATTCCCTTTATGAAATGAAGATATGTCTATAAAGGACAATTTTGGCTTCTATTTCATTGACCATTATATACAGGTTTACTATATAACTATTCTATAAGATGGGTAAATTGCATGACACTTACCATTACATACAGGTTTACGATAACTATTCTATAAGATGGGTAAATTGTATGACACTTACGCTTATCATCATCCTGGTTAGACGTGTTTTGTTCACCATTGGCATAGCCAATTTCTGCCCCGTGTCGCACAGCATCATAGCTTGGTATTGATATGCGACCAGAAGGCTGTGTAATTCTCATGTCTGTAACCTGGAATCAGATCACACATGTTACCTACATTAACGCATTCATACATATATGCTATTCTAATTTATGTACAGCACAGTAATGTTCGTGGGATGCCACTAGGGACAGCGCGTCTCCCAAGTCCGAAATAGTAGGTTTCAGGGGAGAGATAGTGATCCGCTAGATGGCGCATTATTAATTAACAATTAATAAAATCAGTTAACCCTAACCCTAACCCAAATCCTAACCCTAACCCTAATCCTAACCCTAACCCTATCCCTAATTCAAAATAATAATAATAAGGCCCTCTAGGGAGAGAATTCGGTACCATGGGAGACGCGCTGTCCCTAGTCGCAGCCATGTTCACAGGCACTTGGACCGTTTCAATAATAAAATGATGGTTAATAAATACCACACTTGTCACTACTTACTGACAGTACCAGCAATAGTTCTTAATGTTTGATTTGACCTAATAACTTCACTTCAACACCGTTCAACTACACCGCTGCAACACATAGCCCGCCACGCCATTGTGCATGCACAGATACACAGTTAGAGAAGGTAAGAAAAGCGTTTGCCACAGAAATTCCAGAACGCTCACTTTTGTCGCAGCACTAGAGGAGAAATACACGTCCAAACGCCATGATATTTGCCATCTGCTGTGTAGCTGAATGGTCACTTGTTCGAATATTACGTCTTGCAACTTGGTAACCACATACTTTACCCAGAATATATGAGAAATCCTGTTCGAATTTGCCGCAAATTTTCCCATGAAGCCGATTTGTAAACAGGACCAACAAGCCGGAAATCCCTAACTGCTCTATTATATCCTTTGACCAATCACGATAGCGGCGAGGCATCCGGGTACCCTGGGGTTGGCGTCGAGGCTCGTTTTTGAGTTTGGGGCTCAGGCCGAGATGCAACTCCTCCCAGAGTGCAATGCGGCGCCATTGCTCATGTACTTGTGTCCTGTTTACAAATCGGCTTCATGGGAAATTTGCGGCAAATTCGAACAGGATTTCTCATATAATTCTGGGTAAAAGTATGTGCGTACCAAGTTGCAAGACGTATATTTTCGAACAAGTGACCATTCAGCTACACACAGATGGCAATATCATCGGCATTTGGACGTGTATTTCTCCTCTAGTGCCTGCCGACAAAAGTGGAGCGTTCTGGAATTTCTGTGCAAACGCTTTCTTACCTCTCTAACTGTGTATCTGTGCATGCACAATGGCGTGCGGGCTATGTGTTGCAGCCGGTATTGGACGGTGTTGAAGTGAAGTTATTAGGTCAAATCAACATTAAGACTATTGCTGGTACCTGTAGTAGTACTGACAAGTTGTATTTATTAACCATCATTTTTATTATTGAAACGGTTCCAGTGCCTGTGGCCATGTTCGTGCGTTGTTGACAATTAATATAATGACCGTAAATTTCCAAGGAACACGATGTACGAAAGTAGGCTAGGCATATCTTTTGTCTTTCGACGTTTGGTAATAATCTAGCTGCATGCTTAACTGGTGCAATTCTTCTTGTTTGAATGCACGCTTTGATAATTAAAGTGATTACGTCACCGTAAATAGTAAAGAATAAAAAAAATATTTCCACTTTTTTACAAAAATATAAGTAATTCTGTTTACATTTTATGGTTAAATTGCTGCATTACACTTCCTATTTTACTATATTGTTCCGATGTGAACATACACTCGTGACCCATACATAGCCCCTAACAAGCAATTAATGTTAGACAACATTAATTCAAATCGGCTAGGTTTTTTGGATTTTTTAACTAGTTGGAGAAACAATCTTATCAGGTAAGAATTTGACGATTTGTTTAGTCTCGTTAGTTCTTACTTTTAATGTAAAAAAATGGGAATTTTTTTTTTACAAATTTTACCATAGAAAATTCGTGACGTAATCCCTTTAACTAAGTAAATAAACACTCAATCACTGAATCAATCAAGAACCATGTACTGTCCAGTAAATAGAACCATCATGTTTGGCGCAATGATGATAAATGGGGAAAAGATACGATATGTAGATTTTCACTAAATGACATTTAAAATGCAATACAGGATTAGAATTGGGCAATCACACACTACCACGGCACTGCCACTGGCAGTGGCACTAGCGTCGCGAACTGGAACTACTTCAGTACTTGCCTGTTGTGACAATTTAGCATCTTGTTCATCTACAAGTTTCGCCCAATCGTCATCCGCCATTATAGATAGCAGCCGAAGCGTATTCGATTTAAAAAGGATTTGTATAGACCTACAGCTCTGTAGCACGAGTTTTCGAAGTGATCTTCACAAAATTTCACAAGAGCCACAGCGATTTACGTAGAGTAGGAAAGAAGCCAACGCCATTAACAGTGGGTTATAGCGCCATCTAACGACCGTTATAATAAATTATTTGTTCGGTGCCTGTACGCTGAAGCTATCGCCACGGTGTTGGTTGCGCGCGTGTCGGGGAAAGATTATATTTAATGTACTGTAGAGTGTGGACATGAAAAAATATGTATTATATAGCTGTACATATGTTCATGATATATGTTTAGTGCCTACTATCATGCTCTCGCTTAGCAAACAAGATGCTGTTTCTGAGGTTTTCTCCAGAGTTCATCATATATATAGCGAAGCATGTTTCATGTTTATAAACATTGACCTCATATGCGCACATGCGCAGCAAGCGGTTGGCCAGCAAGCAGATGCGTGATATTTGTTCGATACAAGCACACGCACGCACGCACGCCACGCCACGCACGCACTCACACACGCACGCAGGCCACGCACGTGTACGTTCACACGCACGCACGCACGCGCGCGCACGTGTACGTGCACACGCACGCCATGTACGCACGTGTAAGTGCACACGCACGCACGAACGCACGTGTACGTACACACGCACGCACGTGTACTTGCACACGCACGCACGGCACGCACGCACGTGTACGTGCACACGCACACATGCACGCACGTGTACGCACGCACGCACGCCAGCGCACGCACGCACACACGCACGCACGCCACACGCACGCATGCACGTTTCCAAAAACACACCGCACGCACGCATGCATGAACGCGTGTACGTGCACACGCACGCACGCACGCACGCAGTCCTACGTGCCACATGCATGCACGCACGCACGTGTACCTGTACACACACGCACGACGCACCAACGCACTCATGCACACACGTGTACCTGTACACGCACGCACGCACACACACATGCACGCACGTGTACGTGCACACGCACGCACGCACGTGTACGTGCACACGAACGTATGAAAGTGTACCTGCACACGCGCGCACACACGCACGCACGCACGCACGTGTACATGCACACACACGGACGCACACACGCATGCACGCACGCAGCACGCACGTGTACGTGCACTACATAAACAGCGCTTTCTATCAGAACATGTGGTCATTCATCTGTAAATGTCATGCCTCGCTTCTGCCAACCACCAAGCCAACCACAACACAAAACAAATACACGTGACCTGATCTATGACGTCACGTGAAACATCGCTTGTTTTGCCCCGGGGTTTTGCCGTGTTTGTGACGCCACAGATCATACGCTATTCTAAATAACCACGCTTCATGTATTAAAAATTGACAATACAACACAAATAAATTGCTGGTATTACTTTATCTTGTGTATCATTGATGTGGGACCGCCCAACATATTGTCTGTGGCACGGATAATCATAATGTTGGTCGCAGAAATGTGCGTACGTTTCTTAAGTACAACTAGCAAGAGCAAGACTAGCTGCGCTCTATTAGTTCTCACTTCCCGGCAGTCAGAAAAGAAGAGAGACAAGTTGCTAGGCGTGTAGCGAGGATGCAATCTGTTGCCCACATTATTGGTAGGCCACTCGATCCTTTCCCCGGAACGAGTTTGCTGTTCATGTGCACTAGCATTGGTCGTTGGGGGCTTAAGTCATACTGCGTGGTATATTTATGGATTTATCATAACAAGTTACTTTCTGCTATCCTCTTTTTATACCAGGAATGGTACCATTTGGTATTTTTATTTTTTCCAGAAATTTAAGACTGCAACTGATAAATGAAAACTTGGGTTCTTTTAGGGAGGGGGATGCTGCGATTTATCGCGGTCTCATTGCCGCTAATCCTATCTATTTGTTATGGATTTGTTTATTTTTACGCAAGCCTAGTAAATACTATTCTTATACAGGTTTGAAGACGATCATCTTTATCATGAGTTTATGATGTTCCCACGTGGTTCCCATGGCCATGTACGCGATAGCACCAAATAGCACGTGGGGAATAAAAATGGCGTTACTTGGTGCGATTTAAAATTTCTAGCGCCTCATTACCTACCATTTATTTTGCATTTGACCATTAAAGCTTTAGAAAATAAAAAATTAATAGTAATCCTACAGTTAGATATTTATAAAAAATACTAGTAATTGTCGGATCTAACGAGTCGAAAACTTTTTAACTTGTACCTGTGTTTGATTTCTTGATCACTACCACGAGAGGTAACCGGGAAAGATGGCAGTGGGAAAGAAATTGACGAAGCAGGAAGAGCTGTTATTGCAGGATTTTAGCAGGAATGTGACTACTAAGTCATCAGCGCTGTTTTACGGAAATGCGCTTATAGTCTCCGCTATACCGCTATGTAAGTAAAATATCCCGTCTTTGCGGATTTAAATAATTGTCGGTGAATGCGAACTCCGTACCTGTTTCCCTGATCCGGCGTCCACGTCACCACTCCACCAGTCGCCACACTCCACTCCAGCATCACTCGCACAGTCCCGATGGTAGCTGACAGGTGTGTGCTACCACAAATATTATAGCCCCGCGAAAGATGTAGATGAATACGAGAGTATATTACACTAAAAGTGATTAGACTTTGTTGCTTTTTAAAGTTAGATATTTAGGAACGCATTCTGTCTAACGAAAAGTATATTATGGAACACGAAATACAACTTACCTGTTACCATTCTTCAAATTTAATCAATGGAAAGGTAGGTACTACTACTAGTTAGTGTTGGTAAAGAATCTGTACATAACAACCAGCTGTTATGTTATAGTTTTGTATTATAATTAGTTCTTATATAAGTTAGCAGTCTCACTCTATTAGTTTAAAATAGCAACTGCTAATCTAAATTATATATCTAGGTTGAGATATAGACTTATTTTACTAGTTGTAGTTGACCTCGCCAGATCAGGCACAAGCTCCTCACATCATTCTTGCACATTGACTTGCAATCGGTTTATGTTTAGATACTTCCATCAATAAATGTATAAACGGATGGCTCTTTGGTAGTTGCTGATGTGCCTTTGTTTCCGTCTATACCTTCTATATCACCATTGGACTGCACAGGGTAGTAAGTTTGGATCCAAAACTTGGCACTTCATTTGCACTTGCCAAGTTGTACATTCAGTTAATAAATGTTTTTTTAGAAATGACCCAAAATGGCAAACACAGGAGACACACTACTATGAAGCCAGCTAAATAAGTTAAATTGCCAGTTAAATTATGCCAAATTTACCATTTCAGGGCTGTTCTGGAGAATTCACCAGATGGATCCATATCAGTCTGGACTTGTTTGGGCAGCCATGACAATTGTCAGCACCTATCTCGTTGCATTTGCATATAAAAACACTAAATTTGTTCTCAAACACAAGTAAGTTGTTCATTAAGGCTCCTTATGGCTATGCTAGTAGAATGTGTAGGGTAATACTATAAATATTCAGTGTAATTATGGGAATTAGATGCAGGGTAATCATCTTAAAATAAGTTTATTTGGCCATTAGGAGCTGCGAATGCAAGTTTTTTTTCTAGATCTATTTATACTTGAAGTTTGCCAAAACATCATCTATTCTGTAGTACATTTTCTCGTGCTAACTAATGATAATGCTACGTATTGCTGCCCTCTAGTGGCACTTAAAAAAAATTATGAAGTGTTATCTATGCAGCAGCTTTTCAGGATAAATACATCCTTACACATAGACACATCTCTGTGGTCTTTGTTACTCTTGTTCCAAGCAAGGAGCTAAATATAACAAGGAGAGGAAGTGGATTGGCTGTGTGCTTTTCGCCTCAAAGGCGCCATGTATGGACCATAATCAGCTGAAACGGCTGTGCAGACCGAAACCAGAGACAATAGAACACTAATCTGTTCTAGGGTTTTTGCCGAACCCAAATTTGGGCCAGATATGGCGGCGCTTCCTCTCCTTGTTATATTTAGCTCCTTGGTTCCAAGGACAGTCATTAACGACACTTGTGCAATCGATGTAAGAAGCCAATGTGTGTCAGTGCTGTGACACTACTGCACAAATGTTTCTTTATTCTTATATATTTACACTTGATTTTTTTATCTGCAGAGTTGCACAGAGGAGAGAGGATGGTGTGAACAGAGAGGTGTTGAAGAGCCTGGCAGATGACAAAAAAATGTCTCGTAAAGAAAAGGATGAACGGTACCATTTTTTGATTTAAAAGAAAATAGGAGAAAAGTTATGCTAATGGATGAAAAACTCATGCTATAACTTAGTCAGTGTTTTTGTTTGCAGAACTCATTGCGCATGGTCAAAACTCAAACCTTATGCTGACAAATAGAATATTAACATATCTCAGGGAATTCCCCCTCCCAGTTGCAAGCTGTCATATTATATAGCCTGCTGTCACTGATTTTCAAATAGATGAGATCAAAAAGTAGTATGAATGTGATGAATGCTATACCACGTTGGAAAAGCAAGAGGTATTTGCGAGCTCTTTTGCGTGATTCCCAAGTTTTGTCTTGCAGGGCACTATGGAAGAAGAATGAGGTGGCAGATTACGAAGCAACAACTTTTTCCATATTCTACAATAATGCGTTCTATCTCTTGCTGGTCCTCATCGCTTCATTTTACATCCTGAGGACGATGTCGCCGACTGTGTATCCTTGATATTACTCTAGTAATGGTCTCGCCAAGAGTTGGGTAATAACAGATGCTCAACATTGATTTTCAAATAGCATCATTTATCAACACCCTGTTTATGTCCTTAACTTTTTTTCTCAGCAACTACATTCTTTCCATTGGTATCGCAAGTGGAATTCTGGCACTTTTTTCGACGGGAACTCGTTAAAGATGGCACCACGGGGAAAGGATGCCTGTAATCTGCATTGGCGGGATAACGCAGCACTTTGGTCTAAAACGAACCCCAGCACGGCTATATTTTCGAGTTAAATTAGATTTTTAATTGTGAGAATGCCAACATAAAACCATTATTGTAGTGATCTTTTACTAAAAATCGAGTTTTCAAAAGAATCTGATACTGCTGCGAGATTTTTGTTTATGCAGTTATTGGAAGATGAAAGGTAATTAACCATTCCATGTCGGTGCAAGTTGTCAGTGAGTGGTGGGTTGTAGATAATTTCAATAAATTACTAATAAATCTTTTTTTAAATACCCACTATATGTATCTTCTTTTATGAGTATGTTATTAGTCTATCCCTATTTAATGGTATTATCTATGGAATGTAAAATACACTGACGTGCAATGTGGAAATGACATTTTATACATACTTCACAATATACCGAATTGATATTAGATCAAACAAACAGGATTACGCAGTAATGTCGTAGTTTAAAATTAAAGTTCATCAATGTTTATTGGAAAGCGATTTCCATCCTTAATACAGAACTTGAAAACGATGCACATGCCTTGAATTTTGCCACTCTACAAATGCATGTAAATTGCCAGTTCTTACATGGAGGTGCTGCTAGAATCCTGTTTTCCTTACACACGTGAACGAATACTTCTCGTTTCTCCCCCTCCCCGCGTGCCGAGTGTGACGGTGACTGTGACCTCACATATACGATACTATAGCAAGAATGGGTATGTAGGTTATTATTACTTGTAGAGTGGCGGCATACACGACGGCCAACTTCACGCTGGACTTACATGATGTGAAACAATGCAGACGGCTACACTGCGACGGAAACAAAGCAAAAAACAAGGAAGTCGACACGCGGTACAGCGCCAAGACTTGGAAATAAATATCACTGGTGTCTGCCCAGGTAGGCGGCCGTTGTCAGAAACGTCACAAATAATTACAATGCCAGAAGTCCAAATAGTCACGTAACTTTGAACACAAACTGTTGACGCAAAAGCTACAAAAATGTTACTTAGACTCACGACAGTCGATAAACTACTCGCGACATATCCGACGGGGGACCACAGGTAACTCGAGCGGGGCACCGCATCTGCACGCGAGACAAAAAAAAACACCCCGACCCCGCTGCCGCAGTTTAGCGCACGGCGACGACGATGTCGTCGATCTTCAGGATGCTGCGCACCGTCTCCGTCGCCAGGGAGACGGCGCTCGTCGACACGAGCAGCGGCTGCACGACGTTCTCCTCGAGGATGTTCGTCACCGTGCCGCGACGCACGTTGATGCCCGCGCTCGCCTCGCCGACCGAGTGCCGGTTGCGCAGCTCCGTGACCGTCGCGATCGGGTTGAGCCCCGCGTTCTCCGCGAGCGTGATCGGCACCACCTCGAGCGCCTCGGCGTACGCGCGGAAGCAGTAGGCCTCGGCGCCGCGCAGCGTCTGCGCGTACTCGGCGAGACGCAGCGACATCTCGATCTCGGGCGCGCCGCCGCCGGCGATGAGCGCGCGCCGCTTCACGAGGCAGCGGATGACGCACAGCGCGTCGTGGATCGACCGGTCGGCTTCGTCGAGCACCAGCTTGTTGGAGCCGCGCACGAGCACGCAGACGGTGCGCACGGCAGTCGGCGACACGACCCCCGTCACCTTGACGAGCTTGCCGGTGCCGGCGGTGATCTCTTCTACGAGGTCGGCCGCGGCGAGCATGTCGGTGGAGAAGTGGTCGAGGCTGGCGATCGGCTTGCAGCCGAGCGTCTTGCAGACGAACTCGATGTCCTCTCGCTCGACGTCCTTGACGACCATGATCTTCATCTTGGCGAGGAAGTGCAGAGCGAGGTCGTTGACGGCGTCGCGGAGGATCGACTTCTGGATGAGCAGCACGTTGCAGCCGGATTTCTTGATCGCCTTGACGATGTTGAGGATGTAGGCGCGCTCCTCGCGCAGCACCCGGTCCATCTGCGTGTAGTCGGAGAGAATCACCTGCGAACAGTCGAATTACGTTAATTAAGATGAGACGATTTAATAGAATCGGAGAAAATGATATGCAAAAGGTTAAATTACATTAAGATTAGATAATTTGATAGAGTCGGCGAGAATGACCTGCGAACAGTCAAATTACGTTAATTGAAATTAAATGATTTAATAAAATCGTAGAGATTGGTTAAATTACATTAAATTATGTTGATTAAAATTAGATAAGTGAATATGAAATATTATATAATATATATATTATATTAATCGGTTATATTAGAATGTGACGTATGAGCGGGATCTTTTATGATTATGATAATTGAGAAGACAGAGCACAGACTTGATTAATGGTAGAATTATTTTTATTTTTACTGGCCTCCGGTAGAATTTTTTAACAATCGCTGCCTGATTAGTGAATGATATGCTTCAATCGTTAGAAATTGTTCGCAATGAATTGCACGCGAGCGATGCATCCGACAGCGACGGCTTCGCGACGCAACGTGCAGGCGACGCTCGTTCTAACGTGCACTACTGATTGATGTACGCACCTGATTCTCCATGTCTGTCTTTGGTGGGGAAATGCAGAACTGGATCAGACCGATCTTAGCCTTCTCGATGCGGGTGGGTCCGCCAGACCCGGCTGCCTTTTGCGTGAACACCATGCCTTCTATCAGCTCCGTGTCCTCTATCGTTCCACCGACCTTCTTGATTATCTTGATGTCTCCAAGGTCAACGTTATCGGCTATGTCCGGATTAACGACCTTGAAAATAAGAACGGTTCAAATCGCAAGCATCGGACAAATGAAATTGACATCGTGAATCAAGATAAATCATTCACTGGAATTTTACTTCTTTACATGTAGGATCACGTGAGGATCATGTGAGGATCACGTGAGGATAAATGAGGATCACGTAAAACAAATCTGTCTTTATTGTGTGTTAATGATATAAATTAACAGTAATAATTATAAAATTAAGACATTTACATTTTGAACTCTATTGTGCACTTGCAAACATCATGCAAAATGATAAATAATGAACAGGTGTCTGTCAGAAAGCATAAAATATTCGAAATTATTTTCGCTGGGCAAATTCTAAAACTGAACTCTGAATTAGGCAACACTTTACCAAAAATATAACTGAAAAATGCATATGTTTCAGAACTGATACAATACTGATGCTGAAGCATGAGCAAAAAATAAGTAAATGGCATTTTTATACAACAACAATTCACAACAATAACCAACAATGAGTGATACCAGCAATAAGCATATATCTAAGCATGAACAATACAAGTGCAATGCATGCATGCTACCAGAGGTTTATCCCACACAAAAGCATGAAGGCACAAACACGACCAAGAAACTCGCCAACGATGCGAATTTCCTTGCATATAGACATTTTGTGTGCATAATTTTTTATCTGTAAATCAGGATAGTTTATTGCAAGTATTGGCGATCTTTAGATGAAAATTTCTTCAAATTCAATTAAGCCTATGTAGCAAAACAGGTATTGGAAATGCAATAGGTCTCTAGAATGGATTACAGTTTGACAATTCATTATTTGAGCAGCAGTTGCTATCATAATGTTTTGTATATGTGCATTCATGCTTCTGGCCAACAAAAATATCTGGTGCTTTACATGCAATCTTACTTTCGACAAATCTGATGTCATCCGGGTCACCTAACATACCAAAAATGCATTTACACATCGAATAAACTATTATTTATAGTTCATAAGATATAATTACTTTTTTATAGTCTGACATTCACTTCAAAATAAACATTTAATAGTACATACTAAGCTCATTTTGAACCAGAGTCAAATTAGAGATATTTTTCCCACCTTCCCATTCTCCATTTTCATTCAAATTTTTAAAGAAAATCAATAGTGAGTGAGTATGATTGATAAACTGCCACTTTCTGTGCTATATTTACCTTCAACACAGCATCAACAGCTAGTGGTGAGAGAAAACTTGAATACTGTGACACAACCTTAGAGCTGAGAGATGTTGCAGCAGATTTCAACAGTGATTCTCTGTCACTAAGCTCAACAGGCATTGCCATTCCGACCAATATCTCTACAGCCTTGGCAGCAGCCTTCTGGAATGCCTGTTGTATAAAATATTAAAATTTAGTATATCTAATGCTAAAAACTTCTTTCCTTCATGCTTAGAAATGACAGGTATATCACTGCTAGCAAACGCTTGTATAAAATATTAAAATTTAGTAATATTAAAATTTAGTATATCTTATGCTAAAAAATTATTTCCTTTACGCTTAGAAATGAAGGACTGTTAGCAAACACTAACCCACCCAACACTCATCTACATCATGCAAGCCACCAAATGAGTACCACTAACCGGACAAATTAGAAAATTGCAATTTTAAGATCAGTCAATTGGAATTCTAAAAGGACAAGCCACTCCTGATGCCAGACTGAAGAAACAGCACAAAGCCAAGTTTCCCCCTAGGGATGTCTTAGATGATTTTAAGTGTAGTTAGTAGTTTATAACTGAACGTGAACCGACCACACGGAGCCTTTTGTTACCTCGGAGATTTGCGTTGGATGAATCCCTCTAGACAGCAACGTTGCAGCAGCGTCAAGTAGACTGCCAGCAAGGACGACTACCGTAGTTGTTCCATCTCCCGCCTCGATGTCTTGCGCCTTCGACAGCTCAACAAGCATTCTCGCTGCAGGGTGCAGCACCTGCATCTGTTTCAAGATGGTGGCGCCATCGTTGGTAATGGTTACCTCGCCTGAAATTAAATGACTTGTTGTAGAACGAATGCAGTGGGCGTTTGTAGACAAGGTCCTTGCTCCATTCTCTAAACTTTGCAGGCCAGGCCAGATGATAATTGTAATTAATGTCTCTTTCTTTTAGCTACATCATAGTTTGGGTCAAGTAACCACATTAGCTAATAATTGATTTTGTGTTCACCAAAAATTTTGGGTTTCTCACGAGTCCAAAAACTTTCAAGTTTGTAAATCTTTAGTTGCGCATCTCATAGTTGATTTTAAACACAATTCACACGTAACACGTTAATTTTTCATACTGGACCACACCGTTAAACGGACAAAACAGACAATCAGAATATTACAGCCACACACAACAAATAAACCAATGGTGATGCACACATATGAATGTGAAGGAAGTGATCAATACTCCACTTGGTAGGATGAATACCTGTGCCTGACTGTATCATCTTATCCATTCCCTTTGGTCCAAGGCTTGTGCGCACGGCCTCAGCTACCGACTTTGCTGCAGTGATGTTACTGCGACGGATTTCGCTCGGCTTTTCTCTGTCGTTGTAGCCGGCTCTTGACTGCCCCCCATTATCGCCTCCCGCCATTACTATTTTTACGGAGTTGTTACTGTAAATTTCCTACAACGACCTGTTCCTGGAACTATAAAGAAAAAAAAAACTGGTATTAATCACACGATCAGCACAAATTTTCATATTCTATATTAGAAATATTTTATTTTCCTATTTTATTTTCTTAAATCTAAAATATTTAGGAATATTTTAACAATTACTTTTGTCGACCTGCCAACTCCAAGTATAATCTTGCAAAAAGGATAACCCAAATGGGAAAGAAAGCAAGGTTAAAGGTTCATCCACCAGTTAGAATTCTAGGTATAGGAAACAGCACAATCCCCAGCTAGTCTCAATTCCACGGATAACGGCCATAACTACACAGATGGAAGTGTGCCACATCACATGCAGCATACACTACCAAAAACAATTTTGCAATTATTATACAAGATCAAATTGAATAAACTTGCAGCAGGAATCACGAGTTGCTTAAAACTTAAGCACAGCATTTATTATTAACATTAAATTTCCACGAGGATTCATCGTGACCCATAGCGTACTATTATTACGCCTAGCCTTAGCCCGACCAGGCTGTGCGACCGATTGTCTATAGGTCTTCTAACTCTAACAAGACCGTTTCTTGGAGCTAGCCTAGCCTATGATCTCGTTAGCTCTAGTACTGTAGCCCGCATACAGTTGCCGCAGGGCTATAGAACATTCTATTACGAATGCTAGGGACCAACCCGCTGACTGGCGCAAATAGCTGTTTGAATTTCGTAAATAATTTTCGTTCACAAGAAATACCACAAGCAGACCATTTCAACGATAGTTAAAGGTTCAATATTAGTAGCTGTCATATATAACTTAAGACATATTCACTTCGGATAAGACTAAGAGGCATTAATTGCCTACCACAGATGTTTTCTAGCCGCGAGTAACCGTGAATAAGTTGGTACCTAGCATTCGTAATAGAATGTTCTATAGCCCTGCGGCAACTAGAGCTATGAATCCACAGGTGCTTAAAGCGTTTCAATAAAATATAATGCTAAATAAATACTATTTACTACCAAATTCTTAATGTTTCTATACTCTTTTTCACCTATTATTGCCGACAGTTTCCTGTAAATTCTGTCCAAATCCTATGTACAACATACGCTGCCGTCGGCCATTGCTCTCGCGGCTGCACTGTGCACACTTACACTTATATATATAGCAGGTAGGAAAGCGGGATCCCTAAATTCGCTCGACGCTCGCTTGATTTCACGACTTTACAGCACGAATAGACATCCAACAGCTTCCATCTTTGTTTCCATTTCAAGAACAGTGTTCACTTGTTATAAAAACATACTGTCTCTGTTCGTAACCGAGCTGTTACACGCAAAACCACACAAAGACTGACGAAATTCTCGTGTTCGCTAACCTTGCCCAGTAAATGTAAATGGCTGCCAGTATAGGGCTATATAGACTAGTACTCGCTCCCACCTCGATTACCCATCGAGTAACTAAGCTAAGCTGAGAGGTGGGAGCGAGTACCAGTCTATGAGCTATAGGCGGTGCACTGCTTTCCAACTCCCGTACGAGCCTCGCCATTGGAGCGTTGCAAAAACGTTGCAGCGTTGCGGCGCAAGAATTAGGTCACGAAGAGGGCCGGTGGGTGTTTCCTGATTCTGACAGCCATTTACATTTACTGGGCAAGGTTAGCGAACGCAAGAATTTCGTCAGTCTTTGTGTGATTTCGCGTGTAACAGCTCGGTTACACACAGAGACAGTATGTTTTTATAACAAGTGAACACTGTTCTTGAAATGGAAACAAAGATGGAAGCTGTTGGATGTCTATTCGTGCTGTGAAGGCGTGAAATCAAGCGAGCGTCGAGCGAATTTAGGGATCCCGCTTTCCTACCTGCTATATATATAACTTGTGTAAGTGAGCACAGTGCAGCCGCGAGAGCAATGGCCGACGGCAGCGTATGTTGTACATAGGATTTGGACGGAATTTACAGGAAACTGTCAGCAATAATAGGTGAAAGAGTATAGAAACATTAAGAATTTGGTACCGTAGTAAATAGATTTCGTATTTATTTAGCATTATATTTTATTGAAACACTTCAAGTGTCTGTGTATGAATCATGAATCATGATCTCGTTTGCTTGTGAAATATCAGAGGAGGGGGCAATATTTATTCACACTCATACTATCATCGACATTATGCCGAATTTGTAGTCTAGCCGTATACCGCAAGCAAGCAGAAAATTCGAGAGCATGAGTCACTGTATTGAAAATACAGTTTTCAGTCAGTTGACCGCTCCCTAGTTTAATAGAATACAGAAAAGATTGAAAGAAACACACGCACATCTCACTTTAATAATAAAATAAGATTACGTATAAAATATTAGATTCAACTGTGATATTTGTTACTGGAAGATGTAATCAGATTTCAATATCAATCAACATACTAACATCACACTCACATGAAAACGGAGAACGCACTCGTTGTGATACAGTGCTGCCGTCTAGCGCTTTTGTTTGTTGTGGTCTTTGAACAGCAAATGTGATGACGTACTACACAACGGCAATATTGTACATAGCCAAGTTTATATATTACAAGTACATAGCCATGTTATTTATATTATCTACTCTTGACATAGCGCATTGAGTTTGAAGTTAGCACTACTACTAGGCCTACTACTGAAGGGGTCGTTGTCGTATCAGGTACTACATATGTATACAAAAAGTGTACCAGACTTGTACTACAGAAGTGTACCCTAAGTCTCTAACCCTAACCCTAACCCTAAACATACCTCATAATACTAATTACTATTAATAATAATAGTTAGTACGTAGTCATATAAAAATATAAACATAATACTAAACAACCTAAAACTACCTCGGGTACATATATACACAGCCACAGGCACTTGCGACTGGCTGGTCGGGGTTCGATAAATAGCAACCCCGTTCTGCGCCCACATGCACTTGCGACTGGGTGGTCGGGGTTCGATAAATAGCAACCCCGTTCTGCGCCTATCGTAGTGTGTATAAGAGTGACTCATACACTCTTATGAGAGTCCAGAGTCAAATACTCCCTGATTAACTGTCGGACTCCCTGATTTCACATATATGCAGGAGTCCGCGTGACTCCCTGAAAATTCTGCTATAAGTATATTAACTAGTTCGTTCCAGAGCACGACCTCGCGGAATGTTTCAGTATTAAAATGCCCAAAGAAAATTTGGCAGACGTGCAACCTCATGAACCTTCAAAATAAGCACATGCGGTACAAGTGTACATGCGTACATGCGGTGCAAGCAAGCAAATAAGTACATGCATGCAAAGCACGTGCTTTAGTTTTGAACTTCAGACTGCGGACTCCCTCATTTTGCTGCGGACTTTCTCTTTTTGGGGGCATGGAATCCGTTGGACTCCCTTGTTCACAAGTTAATTTCTACCCATGCGTGTGTGTGCATGCATATATGGGTGCGTGCATGCGTGTGAATGTGTAAAATAGCATGTTTAAGTATGTTCATTTGTTATAAGCAGAGCCATGGAAATTGAGGAGGAACAGGACCGGCCCACGCCTGAAATGTCACTGACTGGTTTCCTGTTTGGAAACATTGACAAGAAGGGTCAACTTGAAGATGATGTTCTGGACTCGGTAATTTACTCGTAGAAATGATATCGGTAGCTGTTTCCTACTGCTAGCTTTATTTATTTTTGTCTTAAAATGTCTTCAAGTGTGTGCACAGAACTATTGGGTTATCACTATGTAGATCAAGCTGTAGAAGGAGAAGATGGCAATATAAACAGCTATATGTGATAGTGAAACGATATATTGAATTCCATGCAGGAATCGAAACAGCATCTAAATGGATTGACTCAGCTGAGCGGTATTGGTTCGATGGTGGAACAGCTGACCAAGGATGAAGAAGAAAACAAGAGTCAAGACTCTGACACAGACGGTGATTCCACCCAGGAGAGCAGTGACGGTAAAATACTCTCATTCTTATAACAATAATAATTCCTATAATTATATAACAATAATTTTGTAATTTGATGGTTTAGTAGAACTAATTACCATAGCCATGTGAGACCCTGCTCGAACATCACATGTCGTATTAGATTATCTAATCTTAATTAATGTAATGTAATCTTAATTAATTAGTAATATTGTGTGTGTGTAAACTTTACCAGTTGCTTCAAAAACCGTGTTTAAGCTAAGCCGATATCAGCGTTATACCCGACGGTGGCTCCCTCTATCACGCAGCGTTCGCGCACAAGGCGAGTTCCGCGGTCGATTATTCGGACATCAATGAGATGGCCGACGACAGTGACGAGGCAAAGTTCCGCAGCGCCATGGACGCGATGCAGATGCAAGCGCCCCCTGTCGCCAAAGTCGACGACGACGACTACGACGCCGACGATGATGATGAGAAAGAGAAGGTGGACTCCAAGTTGATGCCGCCGCCAGCTGCGCCGCCGGTCAAGTCGGAGGAGAAAGCCGACGGGAAGGATGGCAGGGAGGATAGAGCTGGAGGTGACCAACAACTGGAGATCATGGGTACGAATGGATGATGTAAATAAGAGATGTTAAATGAGCTGTTGTACGCGTGGCTGTCTCTCGCGAGCCGTGTTTGTTTTGCTGTTTCTTTCGCTTGTTATTAATTTTGAAGAAATCCATACAAAATGGGCGATAAGTTGAAGCGAATGTGATCGGTTGGCTTTTGGACGGATATGAGGGATGGAGGAATGATCGCGAGATATTCGACCATGTTGCTAAGGACCAGTGATTAGTAAAAAAAAAGGTTACAATCGCTCATGGTTGGTTTCTAATACACCGATGCCGTTCGTTCTACGCAGACGATTCGAGGGTGGATGCCCCTCTTGCTGACATGATGCCTCCTGAACTCAAGAACATCGACGTGAGGGAGCTATTTCCTGCTTTCCGACCAGGCAAGGTGAGTTAGATCGGTCGGGGACGTTATTCGAACCACGCTTACGTACCGTAGTCGTGCACTTTCGAACGCGGCTACCGCGACCGACGGCGCGTCTCCCACGCCGCTGCTGCTCTCGCTTCCAGGTTCTGCGATTCTCGCGGCTCTTCGGTCCTTCGGGCCTCTCCCAGGTGTGGCGCGGCGTAAAGAAGAAGCGAAGGAAGCCCGCGCAGCAGCAGCAGGAGGAGGAGCAGCACGACGCGGCGGCGGCGGCGGAGGGGGAGGAGGAGGGCGGTGCCGGCGGCGAGGGGGAGGCGCGGCGTGACGAGGAGGAGGAGGAGCCGGCAGAGAAGAGAAGCCGCGGCTTCGACGTCGAAGACCCCGGCGACCCGCCGAGTCCGTCGGAGTGCCTGACCGACGACGAGGTAGGGGGCGCTGCACGCCGCGTGGTGAACACAGCGGACAGATCAGCTACTCTCTCACGCTCTCTCTCTCACTCTCTCTCTGTCTCTCTCACGCTTTCTCTCTCACTCTCTCTCTGTCTCTCTTTCTCTTTCTCTCTCTCTCTCTCTTCTCTGTCTCTCTTTCTCTTTCTCTCTCTCTCTCTCTTTCTCTCTCTCTATCTCTGTCTGTCTCTCTCTCTCCCCCTCTCCCCCTCTCTCACTCTGCTCTGACGTCTACTTCGTAGCGTCATTAGCATCTCGCGTGTGTGCATCCATGCGTTGCATCTTGTCTGCAGTTGCATTTTAGTAGTCTGCCTAATGCGGTCCAGGTTAGATGTAGGTGCGCACTCGGCTGAGGTGTGCCTGCTCTGTGTGTGTGTGTGCGTGTGCGTGTGCGTGTGCGTGTGCATGTGTGTGTGTGTGTGTGCGTGGGTTGAGCGTGAGTGTGCGTGTGCATGTGTGTGCGTGTATGTCTATGTGTGTGTGTGTGCATGTGCGTGTGCGTGCGTGTGTGCGTGCGTGTGTGTGTGTGTGTGTGCGTGTGTGTGTGTGTGTGTGCGTGTGTGTGTGTGTGTGTGCGTGTGTGTGTGT